GCTATACAGTAGGACCTTCCTATTTATCTATTTTATATATAGTAGTTAGTATCTGCAAACCTTGAAGTCTCAGTTTATCTCTCCACTGCCTCCTCAGCCTTTTCCCCCGAGTAACCACAAATTTGATTTCTATGTCTGTGAGTCTGTTTCTTTTTTGTAAATAATTTCACTTGTGTCTTTTTTTTTTTAAGATTCCACATATATGTGACGTTGTATGGTATTTGTCTTTTTCTGTCTGACCTAGTAAGATGATCTCCAGGTCCATCCATGTTGCTGCAAATGACATTATTTTATTCTTTTTTATGGCTGAATAGTATTCCGATGTATATGTATATATCATATCTTTTCTTAAAACGAACAATGACAATAGCAAACAAACAAACAAAAAATTTAATGAACAGCATCTTCACTTAACTTATATGAAGTACTCAGGTCCTGAAAGAATGAATGAAAAAACAAATTCCATTATTTCTGAGCACTTACTATGGTAAGCCCCAGTTCTGTTATAAATCTAAAAATTCCCAACATTTCATATTTAACTTTGAGAACATACTACAGTTTAAATATATGGTGCAATGAAATTTAAATGTGAAACCACCCCCTTCAGACCAAAATAGCTGGAGTGAAAATAGTGTATTCTCACGTCCTGATTCATCAAAGTCTGGTTTTCAGGTGTTTTGATGATTAAATCTGTCTGGCAAAAGGCCATCAGTTTCATTCCAAGGTTTCTCTGTAGGGCTGCGTTGTCCTACACTTCTGTGAATGACAGTTTGGAACTTTAAATGAAAGAGTGTGTAAAGTTTTCTTTGCTGAGTGTTATTAACTGAGGGACTCTGGATTAATTTAGCAGCCAGGTCTGTTCTTTCAGCCATAAGCCATGCTGTCAGAGAAACTTAATTACACTTTAAGTGGGATGCAAATGAGTTGTGACACTACATCATTTCACATGAAAGGTTCATTACTTACATTAACTTGCACAATGCTTGCGCCTAAACCTACACTCATTACAATATTCCTGGGATTATTTTTTTAAACATGGCTAAATGCAAGTAGGGTTTTAACATTTAATAACCTGTTTCTTTCTTAATATTTAAGACTGCAAATGTTCACTTTATTAAATGATTATGAATTGAACTACTAGATGCATGAATGTATGAAGGCTGGCAGGAAAAAATGTTCTACCACTTGTCTGCTCAATAGCACATTCTCAGGACCAGATTATTCTTTAAAGTAACTTTATGTCAATAACTTCTTTAGGATTGGTATCCATGGCTTGAAACAGGAAATTTAGCAAGCTTTAAAATCAGATGTCTAAGTAATTTTTATCCTTAGGGCTTAACAGATTTTTCTGAGGATCAGTTGGGTGATTTGGGGTGAGGAAATATGTAAATGTAAACATACAAATTATGTTTCATATTGATAATTGAAACCTTGAGTGACAGGGATAAAACAGTAATGACTATGACAAGTGTTAGGACAAGTACGAACAATATATTTGATCCCATTCTGAAGGAATAGTCAAATGGTCCTGGAATTCTAAGGGGAGAAGGCATTCATTTTGTATTTATCCCTCTGTTCTCTGATGTGGTGATAAGAGAGTTTCAAGGAAAATTAGTTGTTTCTTAACCAGTCACCATAATCAATCAAGAGTGCTTGACAGTTGTTCTCAAGGATATAGGTAGTAGGGAAAACAACAAACTTCTGTCACTTATTGTGTTCTTGGCAATGTCCTAAGCACTTTACTTGTGTTACTTCATTTAATACATTCAAAAACCCTATGAGGCAGGTACTCTGTCCCCATTTTACAAATGACAAAACTGAGAAAGAGAGGGGTTAAGCAAGTTCCCCAAACTCTCAAAAGTATGAGTCAAGATTCATACCTACTCAGTCTAGTTTTAAAGAACATGCTTTTAACCACTGTGGCATACTGCCTAAGTTGTACAAGGGATTTTTATATTTATTAAATATCATAGAAAAAAATTTTTGAACAAGTAAATGATGAGACCAAAGAAAATTGTAGAGAAGAACAGACCTTCATCTGGTTGATTGAGGAACATGATGTTTCAGTGCTATCATACTATATCTGTTTATTCAAATTCCTAGAGATTAGAGTCAAAGATTTATTATAACACACCAACCACGAGATGCTGTTTCATTTTAAATCACATGTCTGTCTTTTTTCCCCCCAATGAGTAGCTTATGGTATTTATTACAAATAGAC